TGCTGCCCAGGCTGGAGGGCAATGGCATGATCTCGGCTCACTGCAACCTCCGCCTCCCAGGTTCAAGTGATCCTCCTGCCTTAGCCTCCCGAGTAGCTGGGATTACAGGTGCCTGCCACCACACCTGGCTAATGTTTGTATTTTTAGTAGAGACAGGGTTTCACTATGTTAGCCTGGCTGGTCTCAAACTCCTGACCTCAGGTGATCCACCCACCTCAGCCTCCCAAAGTGCTGAGATTATAGGTGTGAGCCACCACACCCAGCCTGGGACATATTGTTTGGAAGAGTGAATTCCAAAATAAAATAACAAAAGAAATGATCATTTTTACCTCAGCTAACCGGGAGACTGTAACGAAAATTCATTTCCTGTTCACAATTACCAGGGCACCTTGGGTTCCTAGGGAAGCTAGACTACCTCTAGCTTCCAGAGTAGAATCTACATGCTGCTTAACCCCGGTATTTTCTGTTCATTTCAATGTATCATGCATCATTTTAGCAAAACTCTTTTAATGCACGTAGTGAAACTGGATTTTGATGGAATGTAGTCAAGCAGGTATGTGTACTCGTTCCTTGCAGAATGGCTTTACCCCTCTTCACATTGCCTGCAAGAAGAATCGAATTAAAGTAATGGAACTCCTTCTGAAACACGGTGCATCCATCCAAGCTGTAACCGAGGTGAGAAAAGTTAAGATTTCTGGGAGTCCTGAGATGCCAACAATAGAGCCTTAGCAGCCAGAGCCCCAGGGCTATCTCCAGGGACCAGCTAGTTTGTTTGTGTATCATGATCATAGACTGCATTCTGAACTCTTCAGCAAAAGGGCTGCCAGTCCCTAGGAGAAGCAGACAAGCATGTTGGTGGGTGAGCTGGATGCAAATGTATCACCGTGTCAAAAAATAAAGCCTAAAACACTCACTTAGGGAGAACGGCACCATCACAGAAAGCATAATTTATATAAAATCCTAGACAGTACTGCTTCTCTGATGGGTTCAGTTTTGTCCACCAAGGGGCATTTGGTCATGTCTGGAGGTACTTTAGGTTGTCACAGCCGGATAGTACTACTGGTATCTAGTGAGTCAACGCCAAACAGTTTAGAGTATACAGGACAGTCTCCCACAACAAAAATTAACTGATTCAAAAGTCAAATGTGCTGAGGTTGAGAAACCCTGCACAAGATGACCTTGGTGCTTTTGTCGAGTAAGGATTACTCTGTCTCCAAACTCAAAATTAATGAAACAGCTGCTGAGGTTAGTAAAGGATTAGCCCTAAGTTTCTCCCATAGGAACCAACTCAAAACTCAGAGAAATGATCCATCAAAATCAGGGCTGCACCTTCTACAAAGCAAACCAAGCCCGACACCTACCCTTTCAGACTTGTCCCAGACCCTCAGCCTCCACCTCCCTGCCTCCTAGCACTCTGGTCTCTGTTCATTCTAATTCTAAGTCTTGGCACTTCCATAGACTAGACACTCTAGACTAGTCCACCTCTGTATGTCCGTACCTCTGTGTGTCACACCCCTTTGGCCAGGCTAATCCTGCACATCCTTTAGAACTAAATCTGGGTCATCTTCTTCAGGAAACCTCCCCTCACTCACCAGCCTGGACTACATGTTCCTTCTAGGAACCATCCCCACATCCTGTGAATATTTCCATCAAAGCTCTGATCCAGCTCTCTGACTTATGACTCAGCTGCAACCCCACAACCCCCAGAGGCTGAAGACTCCTTGGAGGCAGGGCCGAGTCTGACTGGTCTTCATATATCCACAGTGCCTAGCTCATACATAGTAGATCATTCAGTAAAGTTTTGTTGAATGCCTGATGCTTAACTATAGGATTTGAAGCAAACATAAAAATTAAAGTCTAGTCTAGTGATTGTTGCTTGGCTTCAGTTTCTTGCCTGCAAATGGAATATTTGCCTAGATTTGTAACACATAAAATTTCTAAAATATTAAATGGTTGACAATATGAATATTGATTTGCCATATTGTCAGACTTATGGCTTCATATTAGGCAACCTGTAATTTGTAATTATAAAATACAAAGTTTACTTTAAGTGTATAGGAACCCTTTTAGAGATCAGGATAGGCTCTGAAATAAAAGTAAATTCTTGGCTGATGTTTGAGTTAATGTCCAGAGATGTCAACCAGTAATCTAGCTCTCTGCTCCCTAAGAGCTTTAAAAGGCAGTTCAGACCAAGATTTTGCCTTGCACGAGTTGTAACTACTCCCCCTGCTGATGGAAAAAGGTTCCAAGACTAACAAAATTCTCATTTTCCGAATTGTCCTCTATCTTCTCACTATTTGAAGTCTAGGCAGCCAGAATTATTCCTTTTCTGTCTTTTACCTCACTTTGATTTTATAGCATTCCTTTCATACATTTTTGATATTCCTCAAATTTCTGCTGAGATTAATTATCCCCTTCTGTCTCTTTTTAAAAAACAGTTTAGCTTTTTCTAGATATACTAAAAAAAGTTTTATCAAGTTATGATATACATGTTATAAGCTAAATTAAACTGAAAAATTTTAAATGGAATAATTTCACATAAAAATCACAAGTAAATAATACTCTTTAAAAAGATTAATGACTTGAAACTTTTATCATTTTTACTTATTCACTCTATTTAAATCTCACAATCATGGGCATATTCAATGTGAAAATACCCTGTAATCAATAAATTCTGCTTTATGCTGAAGAGTGTTCTGGAGTCTGTGTATACGTCCATATATGTATGTGTGCATAGGATCTGAAGCAATTCCAGTCTAATATAGTGACCATTGTAATATTTACTTTAATTATATTGCCTTAATTTGTAATATCCATAAAGTTAAAAAATTAAATGTTTGAAACTATTAATCCTGATTTGTTCTTTTATTAAAGAAACAGCTTTGTGTTAGGTACCCTGCTTTTTTATGTGTGATGTAATCAGTTCTGAGTGCATGGGAATCCACTTTAAAGCCCAGAATAGGACCTGAAATTAAAAAGTTGACTTTTTACCAATATGTGTGAAATCACCACTGTCCTCCCTGTACATACACACATACTTATATGGATAAGGAAGGTTTATTAGTACCTAATAAAAACCTTCAAGTTATTTATCAATTTTTTTCAAAGATCTACATTGAAAGTATGAAATAAATTCTTTTTCTTCTTTAATAGGTATGACATAAGTCTTTCACAGTGACAGAATTCATTTAGGAAAATGATGATTATGTGTTGATATATTTACCGTATAGAATCTGTGGCGTAATGGTGAATGTCCTGGTGTCTTCTAATCTGATCATTGGTTTGGATGGGTGGATGGATGACAGGCTTACAAACAAGCCATTTTTATGCTAAGCCAACAAACCATTTTCTTCTTTTCCCTTTAGTCGGGCCTTACCCCAATCCATGTTGCTGCCTTCATGGGGCATGTAAATATTGTATCACAACTAATGCATCATGGAGCCTCGCCAAACACCACCAATGTGGTAAGTATTCTTTGAACAAAGGAGATCCATTGTGAGTATTTAATGAACTGTCAAAGATGGTTTTTATCTACTTTTTTGTTTTTTATTTTTTTAAGAGTTGGAGTATCACTCTATCTCCCAGACTGGAATACAGTGGTGCACTTATAGCTCATTGCAGCCTTAAATCCTGGACTCTAGTGGTCCTCCCACCTCAGCCTCCCAAGTATCTGGGACTACAGGAGTGTGCCATCATGGCCCACTAATTTTTAAATGTTTTGTAGAGACAGGACCTTGCTATGTTGCCCAGGCTGGTCTTGAACTCCTGTCTTCAAGCAATCCTCCTACCTTGGCCTCCTAAATTGTTGGGCTTGTAGGCATAAGCCACCATGCCCAGCCTTATTGTTGTTATAATTAATTAATATGTAATTAATATGACTACTTAAAAGAAGAAAATTCAAGAATACATTTGGTTTCCTTTCCTTCAAAGGAAAGATACTCTTAGTCACTAGTTGGCCAGAAATTGTTGGGACTATGGACTATGTTCATTAACCTTACAGGTGCACTACTACTGGATATTATGTTTTAAAAAATAAAGTGTTGGGGGGGGTTTTCTATAACAGAAGCATTAAAAAGTGTTGCATGTTGGAGAAGTGGTTTAGACACTATCATTATTGATACAAAGAAGTGATTCAGGCAGGGTGCAGTGGCTCACACCTGTAATCCCAGCACTTGGGGAGGCCGAGGCGGGCAGACCACTTGAGGTCAGGAGTTCAAGACCAGCCTGGCCAACATGGTGAAACCTGTCTCTACTAAAAATACAAAAAAGAATTAGCTGGGCATGGTGATGCATGTGTATAATTCCAGCTACTCAGAAGGCTGAGGCATGAGAATCACTTGAACCTGGGAGGCAGAGATTACTGTGAGCCAATATCACGCCATTGTATTAAGCCTGGACAACAAAGCAAGACTCTGTCTCAAAAAAAAAAAAAAAAAAAAGGAAAGGAAGAAGTGATTTCAGCAAACTTTAAAGTAGTCTCTCTTTAATGTGCTTCACCATGTAATAGCAAACCCATGGAATACTGTGTTCATAGATTACCTGATGGTATTCTTTTCCCACACTAAGCATTGCTCTGTAGGAACCACGAGGCTCCCTTCAGAGTAGCTATCACAGTAGTAACTTACCACCTTTGACATCATAATATTAGCCAAACAGACCACGAGCATCATAACACTTGTTGGATTCATGAGCCTTAAAGAAGTAACAATAAAACAAGGACCATCCTGGCACAGAAGGGGCAAGCTAGGAGGTCCTGGCACCCTCACCCTGAGAGTGGGGCTCCCCAGTAAGACTGTATCTTCCAGCTGCCCCAAGCAGTACAACCATAAGGTAGAAACAGACCAGCTTCTCAGATGAAATATAGTCTTTCATGGTACTAGTTGCAGAGAATGTTTTCATTCATAAAGAGAACGCTGAGAAATACACTAAACGACATCCTCAGCAGCTTTCCAGTAAACACAATCCACCAGCTTCCTGTGAAATCTGCCTTCATGTGTCCTTGCATGGAAGTAGGTGGCCTACAAAGCAAAGCTCAATTTATAAAGGCAGTTTACAAGTGAGCATCACTTGTGCGAGAAAATAGAATTTTTGTTATTTGTATGTTTCAGTGTATCTGTTTCTAATATCATTTTCATTTTTAGTCAAGTAAAAAAATAATCTGAATTAAAATCTCTTTGGTGAAAAAGTAGGGGGAGGGTGGTCCGGGGCAAAGAAAATGACCCACTGGGAAAATACCCAAAGGTGAAGATACTGATCTGTTCAGATAAAACAGGAAATGCAAACCAGCTGTCGACAAGCCAAATCTGGCCCTCGGCTGTGTTTATGTTGCCCATGTAGTATTTTGTTTTTAATTCTGAATTTATGGTCAATATTTAAGAATTAGAAAATTCATACAAATATCCAGACTGCCACTTCTTTTGAAAAGTAGCAAGGTGCGGCACGGTAAGGCTGGCATCCTGCACAGTGACAACAGGGAGCTGCAGATGCAGGGGCTGGGTGGGGGGGTGTGGGCTGCCCCCTTCAGCACAGGTATGGGCTCTCTGGAGCACACCACACCCACCCTGCTGCACTCATCCGCCTGCTTGCCTTCTGTGAGCACTCGCCTTTCCAGCCCCAGGGAGTCCACACTGTAGGTTACTGAGCAGCATCCCTGGCACAGTGATTGACAAGACCCCCTAGGCTTATGCCAAAGTCTTTGCCTCATGGACCAGCTTCCTGTGAAATTCTTTTGCATTTGGTTTCCTATCTTTTCAATAAGGAAGTGCTTAGGACTATTTTTGATTGTTGAAGAAAGGTCATCATAAGCTTTATGCCAAATAAAATATGCCACTATTCTTCAGAGCTGCAGCTAATTTACTTTGGCTCGTGTTCCCTAGAGAGGAGAAACAGCACTGCACATGGCGGCTCGCTCTGGCCAAGCTGAAGTTGTGCGGTATCTGGTACAAGACGGAGCTCAGGTAGAAGCTAAAGCTAAGGTATGTGCAGTACTTGACAAGTATTTGAAATGGAGGAAAAACCCTTCGATTTTCATAAAACTTTTAAATATATACATGCCATCTTTCAAGAATACTTTAAAAATAGTGAACAACCTCCAATGATGAAAGTCCCTACCCAAATAACATTAAAAAAATCACTTTTCTCCACATTTGTTCATTCAATTATTTAACAAAATGAAATAGGATGACTTGTGCCTGAAACTGTCAACACATGGCTAGTCCCTAACAGGGTAGGGACTGAATCTAGACTTGGTCCAAAGTTCTTCGCACTCCATGGAGAAGGGCTTCTGCACAAAGCTTCTAGAATGATCACAACTTGGAAGCATAAGTGAGCTTTATTGGTTGACTTATATGTCAGCTGTCAACAGCCACAAATGAAAAAAGGGGGATTTTTTTTTTTCTACACAAACTGGTTGGTCACTCAAAATTGGCCTCCCATCTCACCTCAGGAGAAACCCACTTACCTGCTGCTACTGAGATGAATAGTTTGCTCTGGTTATCAGAATGGCAGTTCAGGTCCAGAATCATAAACCATTTAATTTAAATCTACAATATGTAAATATAAATTTACTGAGTCTGCAGTCTCTAGTTTCAAGTGAAGGGGTGGCAGTAGTAGCAGTATATGAGATCTGTCTTTGGCACCTGTTTTTTTCGGCTTTCAATGTTCCTCTTCTCCCTCGTGGCATCTCCCTAACTCCTCTTATGCCTCCTACTGGTTAGATAGCCCCTCTTACTTTGACACTGACCCTCATCCTCCTTACTCTTCCAAAACGGTGTCCTCTATTCTAGACTCTTTCTCTACTTTCCTTCTTAAAGCACTTAACTGAACCTTATCACAATTCAGTACAGAATTTCTATTTAGAGGGCTACCACAGGGGATATTTGGGCAAATTAGGATAAGTTGCACCTCCCACTTAGGGATAAGACCCTAGGGGATCAGGACTTAGTGAGTACCTCCTGCCTTTAGATGAATTGTAGTGAGGGGGCTGTCTAGTCTAGACAGATGCAGCCCATGCCAGGATGCACAGCTTGGCAAGCAGAGAACATCAGCCTCTGCTGACGCTTTGACTGGGAGCCTTTGTGCAGGTATACGGCGCAGCCCTGCACTGCCTTCTCATGCTCTGCTTTTGTCTACGGGAAGGCCGAACCAACAAAATAATTCATTCCATGTTAGTGCTAAAAACTGGTGTGGAGGTATAATGTCCCTCCCAGGTATATGAGTTTTTACTAGGATATGTTCTCTCATCTCCCAAAGAAGGAGCAATTAAAGTTCAAAATTGACTCTGTGGCAGGTGACGATGGGGGAACATTTATGGATAAAACCGTGTTTCACAGTTTTATTATTAATGGGTCACTCTCCAATGCTATTTAATGAGCTTAGAGTTATCATCTCCTCATTTCTGAACATTGAAGAAAAAGATAAGATTTTTTTTTTAGCATTGACTCAAATAGTTGAATGTACCCCTTACATCAGACAGCTAATGTCCCCTGAATTTTTCATAAAGGCACCACTGTTTTCTCAGCTCATCGGCCTTACATTTCTACCTTGCTGTTTAGGATGACCAAACCCCACTCCACATTTCAGCCCGACTGGGGAAAGCAGACATAGTCCAACAGCTGTTGCAGCAAGGGGCATCTCCAAATGCAGCCACAACTTCTGGGTACACCCCACTTCACCTTTCTGCCCGAGAGGGGCATGAGGATGTTGCCGCATTCCTTTTGGATCATGGAGCATCTTTATCTATAACAACAAAGGTATGAGAGTGAATCTCAAAATCCTCCTCTATCCCCCCAGATACATTGTCTTTACAGTTCCCAACACAGTAACAGGTCCAGAAGCTGCACGACAGCATCCATTCTTGCAATCCTGCAGTAGTCATTAATATGGCCAGCAAAGCTCTGTGGTGGGAGAGGGTGGTGGTTAGTATTTTGTGGGTTTTTTTTTTTTTTCTTAACTTTCTTGGCACATTTTCTTCTAATGAAACCTTACTGAAATCCAGAGTCAGATTTCTAGTAAGTTATTTGATGGACTTAAATGGTACTTTAAAAACAGAGCTACAGATTAGCAAAATGCTCAGGCCAAGCAAACAAACCACGTTATCACAGCTCAGTTGGTGGTTGCTTTTATAATACTTGCAAAACAGGCAGTGAATTTTTCTTGGGGTTGTTTTTGTTCTTTTTTGTTGTCATTATTGTCTTCTCTGACTTATGATTTATTTTTGTCTCAACTCGGATGTCTTAGAGTAATACCCTAACATCATACCGTTGTTCTGCATGTGCAGAATGCCAAATTTGGAGCTCATTTTTCTTGTGATACTACATAAGCCTAGCAAGTGTGATAGCAAGATGAATGGGCTTATGGCGTATCTTAAAAAGCTAGTAAATGGTACTGCACTCTTTTATTTGGATGCAGATAAGAAAGATTAATGTGTATTCAATGTAGAAGATAATTACAAATAGAAAACTATCAGGATAAATGATGACTACCTCACTTCATTTCTTGTGATTCTTTGGGCTCTTCAGTAGAGTTAAGATGCAAGTTCGGGAAGCTCATTTGATGTGAAACAGAATAGTTGATAGGGTCTTCAGTATTCAGGCATTTCACCATATCAGCTGCACATTCCCTTTACTTTGTTGTAGTCTCCTGAGGTCGAATGTACCGATGACCCCCCTAATCCCTGACTTATGACTGGGACCGCCGCAGCAGTGTGCTGATTGGGCTGGTTGATACACAGCTTCTTGTAGGAGTTGGAAGCCTGAGAGAGCAGCCACTCAGCTATTAACATCCAATTGTTGTATATTTGTCCACGTGTCATTATTCAATTCACCTATAGAATAGGCATCGTCATTCTAGAATCATGTCATTATTCAGTTCACCTATGGTGGCAAAGGTGAGAGAATTTCTGACTCCTCCTCCTGAAGACTAGAGCCCACGTAAGGATTGTGTATACACAGAGAAGCAGGGAAACAAGAAGAGAAAGTGTCCAGTCTGGTGATGTGAGATTGTAAGAGGTTCAGACTTGCCTTGGATTTTCCCAAGCCCTCCAAACTGAGTGTGTTACTGTAACTTCTTCTTCCCACAATATGAAACTCTTAAAACAGCCCTAGAATAAGCCCCAGATCCAGCTCTCCAACTTCATTCTGGTGAGATACCTGATGACTTCCAGAATCAATAGCATGCATGTTGTGGCTCAGTCAGCAGACGGGAGAAAGATTAGGATCCTGGTGTGTTATGCTCACGCCCTATCAATAAGGAAGCTTTTTAACTCTTATCTATGAGTCTTGGACTTTAACTGCAGACTTCACTGCTCATCATTATTAGAACAGTTCGTCGGTTCTGGAAAGCAGTGCCCTTATGTCTTATCTTTTTGTTTGGTTGGTTGGGTGGTTGGTTTGGGTTTTGTGTGTGTTTTCCTTATGTCATTTCTGTTGTTCATTATTTTTATGGTTGTTGTTTTTTTTTTTTTCAGAAAGGATTTACTCCTCTTCATGTGGCAGCAAAATATGGAAAGCTTGAAGTCGCCAATCTCCTGCTACAGAAAAGCGCATCTCCGGATGCTGCTGGGAAGGTAAGAGGCCACCAGCCACCCTGAAGCAGGCCAATTCCACGATAACAAAACAGACACTTGCTATTATTTACTAATGGCCACCTGAATTATACCTAAATATTTAAGTCCCACTAGGATGAAGAGCCCTTGGGAAATAAAAGGTAAATACTGGGGTCCAAGTATTGTGGAAACTGGAATGTAAATATGCCCTGTGTCATATCCAGTCTAATCTCATTTCCTCAATCTAGGCCTCTGGTATTCAGACACCTTTGACACTGCTTGTTGTTTCTGCACGTGTTTTCAGAGCGGGCTAACCCCACTGCATGTAGCTGCACATTACGATAATCAGAAAGTGGCCCTTCTGCTTTTGGACCAAGGAGCCTCACCTCACGCAGCCGCAAAGGTACCTTTAATTCCACAGCCTAAGGAGACTGATGGGTAAGGTCTATCAGTCTCCCTGTGCACATGTACTTCTGCTCCACCAGGAGTGTCTTCCTAGTTTAGGCGCCACTAAAAAAATCACAGCCATGGAAGCACCTTAGGACATCTGTGCCTTCTGTGATTTAGTCCACTAATATGGTAGATGCTCAGGAAATATTTACTTGTCAGTTGATTTTGTTTGACAATCCAGCACCTCCTGGAGGAAGGAGAGTTGGAACACTCTTTCGCCAGATGAAAAAAGTAAGCACAGCCTGAGGGAGTAAGAAAGTTCTGATTTGTCAGAATTATGAAATATGTGTTACATTTTTCTGGCCATGTTATTGCCTTCAAGTTGTTTATTTGCATTTAGTAAAATGGTGTTGAGAGGTCTTACATGTGGTTTTTTATTACTGCTAAGGAGAATCTTTATTGTTAGGGTATTTTGATCAGTAGACAACTTAGATTTCTGAGAGAAGAGAGGAACTGAATGGGTGTATTATCTTATTATTTTAGTAATCTAATTTGGGGTACAAATCATAAAGAAGAGTTTCCTTAAAGACAGGTTAGTAAAGTGCTGTTGGTTTAATAAGCTCTCTATTGTTAAGCAGGTGGCTATGATCAGAGAACACTGAAATGATGCAAACCACCATTTCAATCTTGTTCAATTATTTCAGTAAACACTATTGGTCGAAGGACCCTTGAGTACCCCTTACACTTTTTACATCTTTGATTTACTCGTCCATGTTGGGGCAGCTGCAGTGTTCTCCTTTAAACCTAATGTTTAGATCACATCATTGTATACACAGATGAATGAACTGGGGTTGTTCTAGATTACTTTAGATACCCTAAGAGATCAAGTTTTAGGTACTCTCTCCATTTAGGAGTATGTTATCTTCGATCAGTATTTTTTCCTGGAGCCTTTCAATCATTTTCTGCCCTCTCCTCTCCAGAATTATACCCAATGAAATCTAAACTTCAAAATCAAACTCCCAAACTTGCTTTTAATCTAAATGTAGCTTTCCCCTCCATAATTTCTGACCCTGACAACATTCTTTCTATTACAAAACCACACCTTGACTTGATAAAACTTTATCTTTGTTTTGCTTTGAGACAGAGTCTTGCTCTGTTCCCAGGCTGGAGTGCAGTGGCGATCTCGGCTCACTGCAACCTGCGCCTCCCAGGTTCAAGCGATTCTCCTGCCTCAGCCTCTCGAGTAGCTGGGACTACAGGCCTGCGCCACCATGCCCAGCTAATTTTTGTATTTTTTAGTAGAAATGGGGTTTTACCATGTTGGCCAGGATGGCCTCGATCTCTTGACCTCGTGATCCACCCACCTCGGCCTCCCAAAGTGCTGAGATTACAGGCATGAGCCACTGTGCCCAGCCGATAAAACTGTATTGTTTAAAAAAAAAAAAGATATAGCAGCATTATTCATGATAGCCAAAAGGTGGAAACAACCCAAATATCCATTGATGGATGAATGCATATACTCACTGTGCATACACACTGGAATATTATTTAGCCTTTAGAAGGAAGAAAATTCTGATAATACATGGCAGAATCTTGAAGACACTGTGCTAAGTAAGCCACTCACAAAAGGACAAATGTATGATTCTGCTTACATGAAGTACATAGAGTAGTTGAATTTATAGAGACAGAGATAGGATGGTGGTTGTCAAGGGTAGAGGGAGAAGGGAATGGGGAGTTAATGTTTAACAGATACAGAGTCTCAATTAGGAAGACTAAAAAGTTCTGGAGATGGATAATAGTGATGGTTGGAGAACAATGTGAATGTACACTACTTAATGCTACTGACCTGTACATTTAAAAATGATTTAAATGGGAGATTTTGTTATGTGTATTTTAGCATAATTTTAAGGAGAAAAAATTGTAAGAAATTGAATGGTTGTACATTTTATTTCATTTCATGTTTATACCCCTGTACGTGTGGGCTACTTTTCTTTTTCTTTTTTTTGAGCTGGAGTCTCACTCTGTCACCCAGTCTGGAGCGCAGTGGCATGATCTTGGCTCACTCCAACCTCCACCTCCTGGGTTCAAGCGATTCTCCTGCCTCAGCCTCCCAAGTAGCTGGGATTAGAGGTGCCTGCAACCATGCCCAGCTAATTTTTATATTTTTAGTAGAAATGGGGTTTCACCATGTTGGCCAGCCTGGTCTTGAACTCCCAAGTCCTCCTGCCTTGACCTCCCAAAGTGCCCAGCCACTGCTTTTCTTATGTATAAGTAAACTCAAGTCCTTGGTAAATAATAAGGGGAAATAATTTGTAAGTGAGCTGTTTTTTCCTTGGATGAGAATAATAATTTTGGCACAAAAAGCAGTGTAGCATTGACCACAGTTATAAAACAGTAAGTGCAACAAATGTTTCCAATCTCTTTCTACTCTCAACTCTTAAAAAGGGCAATAGTTGGTATATTCCGAGTTTATTTCCCTTTGTATTTGTCAAACAAGACTTAGTATTCATAGTTCCATATCTGCAAATATCCTACACAAAGATTTGAAAAGAAAAGCTGTCCTTAAATAATTCCTTGTAACATTCCATTAGCCTTAGGCATGTTTTTATAGTCAACTAAACACAGGCTTTTCTAATGGGACATTGATTCTCATTTGCATGCACAATTGCCTGCATAAGAGCCTGGGTAACGCCATCTCTGGCACATGTCCAACAATCCCTGTCTTCCAGGGCAGTGGTACCTGCCAGGGACTTTTTCTAGACTTTAATCTTAAGCAAAGCCAGTCGTATAACTTTAGGTATTTGCTTTATCTGCTAGGAAAAAAAAAAAAGCCCCAGCTAAAACGGTTTAAATTGATGCGCCTCCATTTTCTCATGGCACAGTCTCATAGACTGTTGTTGATGTTGATGTAGGGTGTTGAGGCAAGTTCCCTGTGACTTTTTAAAAAATCAGTTTGGGGATACAAATGCAGTTGTGTTACATGACATATCGCTTAGTGCTGAAGACCGGACTTTTAGTGTAACCATCACCCAAAGTGTGTACATTGTATCCATAGAGAATTCCTTGTCCCACCCCACTCCCACCCTCCCACCTTTCCAAGTCTCCAGTGTCTATTATTCCACTCTCTGTGTCCATGTGCATGCATTATTTAGCTCTTGCTTTTAGGCAAGAACATGCAGTATTTGACTTTGAGTTTTTTTACTTAAGATAATGGCCTCCAGTTTGATCCATGTTGCTGCAAAAGTCATAATTTTATGAGTGGTATTCCATGCTGTGTGTGTATTTATGTGTGCGTGTATATATATGTGTGTGTCATAAATTATATAATTATATACATTATATATAAAATTGATTTCCAGCTTTATATTTGTCCAACAAGACTTTATAGCTCAGTAGTATTCCACTGCTGTGTGTGTGTGTGTGTGTGTGTGTGTGTGTGTGTGTGTATCTGTATCTGTATACATACACATGTATACACGTGTATACATACCATGGAATACCATTTAGCTATCAAAAAAGAATTAAAAATGTAAATCCCACATATTCTTTATCCAATCATCCATTGGTGGACACTAAGTTTGATTCCAGGACTTTGCTGTTGTGAATGGTGCTACAGTAAACACACGAGTGGGCCAGGCCCAGTGGCTCATGTCTGTAATCTCAGCACTTTGGAAGCCCGAGGTGGGCAGATCACCTGAGGTCAGGAGTTCCACACCAGCCTGACTAACATTGAGAAACCCTGTCTCTACTAAAAATACAAAATTAGCCAGGTGTGGTGGGGCAACCCTATAATTCCAGCTACTCAGGAGGTTGAGGCAGAAGGATCGCTTGAACCTGGGAGACGGAGGTTGCGGTGAGCTGAGATTGTACCATTGCACTCCAGCCTGGGCAACAAGAGTGAAACTCCATCTCAAAAAAATAAATAAATAATAAAATAAAATAAATAAACATACAAGTGCAAGTAACTTTTTGATATAATGATTTATTTTCCTTTGGGAATGATCTAACCAGTGGTAAGTTTAAGGGTAGCTGGATTAAGGGTAGTTCTCTTTTTAGTTCTTTGAGGTATCTCCTTACTATTCTCCTAAGAGGTTATATTAATTTACATTCCTACCAACAGTGTATAAGCATTTCTTTTTCTCTGCATCGTCACCAATATCTATTATTTTTGACTTTTCATAATAGACATTCTGATTGGTGTGAGATGATATCTAATTGTGGTTTTGAGTTGCATTTCTCTGATGATTAGTGATGATGAGCATTTTTTCGTATGCTCGACCATTTGTGTGTCTTTCATAAAATGTCCTTTGCCCCCTTTTTAATGTTTTTTTTTCTTGTTGTTTGAGTTCCTCATAGAGCTGGGATATTAGTTCTTTGCCAGATGTATAGTTTGTGAATATTTTCTCCCATTCTGTAGGATATCTGTTCACTCTGTTGATTATCTCTTTTGCTATGCAGAAGCTTTTTAGTTTACTTAAGTCTCATTTGATTTGGGGCATTTGCTTTTGAGGTCTTAGTCATGAATTTTTTTCACTAGGTCAATGTCCAAAAGAGTTTTTCTTATGGTTTCTTCTAGAGTTTTTATAGTTTCAGGTATTACATTTAAGTCTTTAATCTATCTTGAGTTACTTTTTGTATATGGCAAGAGTTATGGGTCTAGTTTCAATCTCTTTCATGTGACTATCAAATTTTTCTAGCACCATTTACTGAATAAGATGTCCTTTTCTCTGTGTTTATTTTGTGAACTTTGTCAAAGATCACTTGGCTGAAGGCATGTGGCTTTATCTGTGAGTTTTCTGTTCTGTTCCATTGATCTATGCATATGTTTTTATGCCAGTGGCATGCTGTTTTGGTTACTATAACCTTGTAGTATAATTTAAAATTAGATAATATGATGCTTCCAGCTTTGTTCTTTTTGCTTAGGATATCTTTGGCTGTTTGGGCTCTTTTTTGTTTCCCTATGAATTTTAGGATTGCTTTTTCTAATTCTGTGAAAAACGAGGTTGGTATTTTAATACAAATTGCAATGAATCTTTGGTTTTTCCCTCCAAAGATTGCTGATCAGGTTGCCAAATTTCCTTTCATGCCACGGGCAGCAAAAATGACAGCACAACAGGGCCTTCCCAGAAGTTCCACCAAACCACATCTCCTTACACCCCATTGGCTACTTCTATGTGCAAAAAAAGTTGGGAAATGTAGTGCTAACTAAGCACATTGCCAGAGAAGTTTGTTTGTTTTGTTTTGTTTTTATTTATTTTTTGTTTGTTTATTTGTTTTTAACTGAGAAAGAAAGGAGAATAGATACAGGGTAGACAGTCTGCCTTCTTTACTCCAGGGGAGCCCAGGCATTCCTGAATTCTGGCAGTGGTGAGAGATAAGGAACAGAGCCTGAACAGGGTATGATTACTATATGGATGTGACAGCAGCAACCTCAATGTTAACTCTTCATCAAATCACATCTTGTGTCCTTTTTCGAGTATGTGATGCCTTCTTCTTATCATTTCTTCTACTTTCTTCTCTTTTTTTAAATTGCCAGTGTATTGTCTTATTCATACGTGTCCTAGAAATGTGATGAGGTTTCGTGAAATTGGAGTGCTGAAAAGTAATGGGCTGCTCTAATCCATTTTAGTCCAATCTGTGTCCTGTGGCAGGACCTTAAGCTGGCAAGAGGATTGGCTTGACTTCAGGCATAAGCTGGATACTAATTGTGGAAGAGATAGTGAGCTTTAAGTGTTATTCATCGGGTTTCTCCTCCATAAAATGTACGAGATATCTATTGATATGGATCAGTGTATCTGTGAAAGTTCTTGAAAAAAATTAAAATATGATTTAAATGCTATATGTTACTTTTGATAAGTCTTTCTGAGATTAACTTTTCATACTAAAATAATACCTGAGTCATTTTTCCCTTGCTTTGTACTTTCCTTTGTATCTCAGGTAAGGAGCTCAAGATAAACCCTTGAGCAATAATAGTAATTTGTCTGGAATTGGCATACATTACAGAGCTGAGTCAGGCTCGCTTGTGCATGTCCTCTCTCTCTCTCTCTCTCTCAGAGTTCTAAAGACAGGCTCTCTCTATGTTGCCCAGGCTGGTCTCAAGCTCCTGGGTTCAAGTGATCCTCCTGCCTCAGCCTCTAAAGTAGCTGAGACTACAGGCATGTACCACCAAGCCTGGCTGCTACAGCTCTGTTAATAAAAAAAACATTTTAGGACATAGGATTCTTTTTGGTGGAATTAGAAGTAAACAAGAAGATTTTCATGTGTGAGAGGATCTTGAGCTGCCTTACCTTGGTTAGGGGTTGAAAAATGACTAACCTGAAGATTATGTCAATAGCAAAAGCAAAAAGAGAGAAGATGCATAAGAAGCTAAATTCTGAGTTTATCTTGCCTTTACCACTCTAAGTAGTTAGGTTAGTGTTAGACACATTGACTAATTATATTTCCTATTTTAGTGCTGCTTTGTGAATTTTCACTTTTACGCTGGGGTGCTGGGGAGGTGAAACCGCTTACCCACTCCTGTCACTCATTGTAGCATTGGACTCAGACCAAAGCTCTGCATTTGGCTCTAAGGTCATCAGTCTCTGAAGGGTGTGTCCCAGCAGAGGGCCAAATGCTTCTCAGGGCAGCTGGGGTTTCCAGATGGCAATAGGTCAAAATTTAAAATAGGGATATAAAATATTTTACCCTTGCTCATCCAGCTTGGCAGAGGCTCGTTTCAGAAGAGTCTAGAAGTGACATTTCCACTTTCATGGGTTGATATAAGTGTTTGTCAAGTGAGGAATACTGTTGGATTTGGACATGCCAGTGACTTAAATGTGAGGGTCACTGCAGCAGGATGGCTGAGTACTGGGTGCCGCAGCTCCTAAAATCCCTCAGTGTTGTTTCTGATTCTTCCACATGACTCAAAAAGAGATTGTGACTGATCTATTGTCCAAATTTGGATCATACTTCCAAATATACATTTATAGATTCTGTTTTCCTTCTGTAAATGTTCCTATCCATGGAAAAATTCTAATTTGTCATTGGCATATTTTCTATACTCAGATTCATGTCCATGTCAAAGTGGAATCTTGCCCTTCTTATAAGTGACTGTAAACCAGGGCAACATCCCCCAAAACTCTTTGTTGGGGCAGGAGACCCCAATGGCTCCTCAGGCACAGCTAACTAGCAGCTTATCAAGGGGGTCTTGATTGTCTGTCTCCGGGCATCAGGGATCAGCCAAGAGAAGGATGCCAGAATGTGCTGAAAGCTCTAGTACTGTTGATTCAAAATCTGAGGATTCCTTTCTTCATGTAATTAATATATGTCAGTTATTGTGAGGCACTAGAGAGATACAAAGACAAATATAACACAATATGTGCCCCTAACAAATGTATATTTTAGTAGGAGGGGACAGATAAATAAACAAAAGAGTGTGCCACTAAATATCCCCAGGACTTTGATAAGAGTCAGTCAGGGTGGGGGTTGGGCTGAGGCTTGAGGAGTGGGAAGAAATAAAAAACCTCATGGAGGGTGTGACCCTTGAGCTGAATTTTCAGCTGACAGATGCTGGCTCCTGATCATGTTGGGGAAAAGCATTCTTGCAGAGTAAGGCAAGACAGAGAAACATGAGACTGTATTCTGTTTGGGGGACGTTCAGGATGACAGACCAGCATGAAGGCAAGTTTTACAATAGAAGAAGCAAAAGGGCCAAATGACAAGAGATGATAGTGTCTTAATTTCCATGAAGTTGTTGGCAAAATTAAAAATTTCAACTTGTAAGCAATAGATGGCCATGAAAGGTGTTCTTCAAATAAAAGAATGAATGGCTCTGAACATGCCCTAATGATAACTTATTGTTTGTTGCTTCTTCCTCCTGTCCTCAATTTGAATAAAGCAAGTAATTATTGAGCCTGTTGTAACGTAAGTTCCTGTAAAAGGGAAATCTATATTCCTTTTGGAAAACCAATAATACTCTGACTCTTTTTGATTAAAGTATCCATATTAAATTATGTTTTCCAGCCACGATTACAGGCGTCAGCCACCACCGTTCCGGACGGGCATGGTGGCTGACGCCTGTAATCCCAACACTTTGGGAGGCTAGGGTGGGTGGATCACGAAGTCAGGAGTTCAAGACCAGCCTGGCCAATGTGGTGAAACCCCATCTCTACTAAAAATACAAAAAAAGAAAAAATTAGCTGGGCGTATGGTGGTGCATGCCTGTAGTTCCAGCTGCTTAGGAGTCTGAGGCAGGAGAATCACTTGAACCCAGGAGGCGGAGGTGGCAGTGAGCTGAGATTGCGCCACTGTACTCCAGTCTGGTGACAGAGGGAGACTCTGTCTCAAAAAATAAAAATAAGGAAATCAACAAATTATGTTTTCCCTGCTTAGGAATGCCAGAGACATGAGCACACTATATTCATGGTACCACTTGGCTTACCAGTATTTGCCTACTTAATCATGATTTCTTAAGCAATCATAGAAAACCACTAGAAAGAGACATATACTATTTGAAAATGCACTGTGCACATTTTTATCTTGTTCCTGGGCATGTGACCAAGTGATTTGTGTTGACAGAATGGTTATACGCCACTGCACATTGCTGCCAAAAAGAACCAGATGGACATAGCGACAACTCTGCTGGAATATGGTGCTGATGCCAACGCAGTTACCCGGCAAGGAATTGCTTCCGTCCATCTTGCAGCGCAGGAAGGGCACGTGGACATGGTGTCGCTGCTCCTTGGTAGAAATGCGAATGTGAACCTGAGCAATAAGGTAACCCACTTCTTTCTTGACAAAGCATGCGGCTCACCAAAACCTCACGCCTCAGAAAGGTCACTGAGAACTCACAGAAGATCTGGGTCAAATATGATGTGTAAAGTGTAATAAAAGCTGTTTACCAAAGTGTTACTTACCAGAACAAAAATTTGGAAACAGTCTGTTTAAACAATAAGAAAAATGGTAAATAGGCCAGTTGCTGTGGCTCATGCATTTAATTTCCAGCTATTTGGGAAGACAGGGTGGGTGGACTGCTTGAGCCCAGAAAATTGAGGCTGCCATGAGTCGTGATTACTTCTTTATACTCCAGCCTGGGTGACAGAGTGAGACCCGGTCTCTTTTTATTTTTTTTTTTAAAGACAGAGAGAGAGAAGGAAAGATAATGGTAAATAAATAATTCAGTCATGCAACTGAGTGTATATGGAGGTGGCACTATAGACATGTAGCCATGAAAATGAAGTCCACAAAGTTTTTGTAGTAACATAAAGTTCTGTTATAATGTTAAAGACCACCATTGTTACTTCACCACGACATAGCAAATAAGAAGTTGGGTCGGGTGCAGTGGCTCACGCCTGTAATCCCAGCCTTTGGGAGGCCATGGCGGGCGGATCATGAGGTCAAGAGATCGAGACTATCCTGGTCAACATGGTGAAACCCCGTCTCTACTAAAAATACAAAAAATTAGCTGGGCATGGTGGTGCGTGCCTGTAATCCCAGCTACTCAGGAGGCTGAGGCAGGAGAATTGCCTGAACCCAGGAGGCGGAGGTTGTGGTGAGCCGAGATCGCACCATTGCACTCCAGCCTGGGTAACATGAGCGAAACTCCGTCTCAAAAAAATAAAAAAATAAAAGAAGTTGTAAATTGCAGCCCATTGCTTTATGCCACAAACATTTTTGGGCTCCTGCTCCTTGCTGATCCAGTTTTCAGTTCTAGGTTACAAAGAGAAATGGGAAACATTGCTGCCTTCATGAGTTCATTTTAATAACAAATTTAGAGTAGCTATTTTATGGAGTAGATAGAAGTTGTTGGCCATTTTGAATAAACTTGTGAAGACTGTTCCTTAAACTCTTCAAACACCCATACCCTCATCTTTGATATCATCATTATTCAGGAAGAAAAGAGTTTTATCAAGCAAAGCAAAAGTTCAGCCCGCAATTAACTAGAAACATGTTAATGAAGTTATTGCCTCTCGCTGTATGTATCAAAGAATTTGGATTTGCTGAATTGCTCACTAAGATTCGCCCAAAACACAAGATAAGTGTTTCTAAGTCTTAGATAATGGGAAACCATGCAAAAGGACTCTCGGATTCCTGATAACCTCCACTCTCTGGCATTTAGCTTCTCTTCTACCTGCTGGGCATGGGCATAGCTGTGACATTTCTCAGCCCTAGCTCAGATATTGAAGTAGAGTTTCAAAATAACAATAGTCTTATGTTGCAGAAACAAGTAATTTAAATACCTTTAACACGTGTGCCTGTGTTTTGAAATCACAGAGTTTGAATCCTAAGTTGGATTCTTCTGAGCTGTGTCATTTAGGCGAGTTAAATTACCTCTCTGAGCCTCAGTTTTGTCCTATAGGAAGTGTTGTAGATAACAATACTGATTTCATGAGATGCAGTGAGGATCCACTGAGATAACATTCAGCACCATTTTTTAAGTAGGAAAAAATAGTTTTTTTAATTTTGGAGCTTTTACAATTTTGGAAAGAGTTTACTCCATACTAATCTGAATTCTCAAGGTATTTTTCAACAAATTCCATACCCCAAAAGACATACACAGGAGACCAGAGATATCTTTTTTTGGTTTTAGTATTGTGAAAATATTTTTCGGTCATTACAGAGCAAACACATTCTTTTAATTTTATTTTTTTCTTGTTAAACATTCCTTTTAGGAGTACATGTCTCAGCGTTAATGGGACTCACAAAGCAATTTCAAATCATTATAGTTAAGATTTGTTTGACCTTTTGAATTTTCTACAGTTTTATATACCAATTTAGAGACCAGAATTTTAATGGCTTGTTACAAAACTCAACTTGTCTTTATGACAAAGAGGACCTTGCGTTTCTCAAATTGAAACACATGCTGGTATATATTACAGTGTATTTTCTCTTGTAAGCCTATGATATTTTATCAGTTCTTCCAGAAACAATGTAATACTATCACAATTGGTTTTAATTGAATATTTTCAGTAGGTTTGATACCAAACTATAGTGTGATTGACTTTGTTTCTTTAAAATCCTGCAGCCAGCTAGTACAATATATACCTAGCCTGAATTCACCTTAGACTCACAGAGTAATTTTAAACTAAAAATATTTAGGGCAAAAATTTTCTCAGTGCTTGCTTTAGTAGAGTGGAAATTAACAAAAGAAATTCTGAAAACCCAAAGATGTACAGTAAACAAGGGAAACCTGGAAATTTCTGGCCACCTTCCTGAATAAATGATACACAAGCAGAGATATTCCTAAGGGAATTCTTAAAAATAGCTGGCTTTTCATTAGCATGTTGAACTTCAGGAACTTTGGAGAACTTTTAATACTTTTAACTTTCAGCTTATCATTAGAAACGATCTAATGAGAAAGCATTTGTAAATCCTTGCCTCCTTTCTCCGTTGTCATTTTCAGTATAAAGTACCAAATATGCCCTGATATGAAAACAGAAAAAGCAGCACAACTTTTTATTATTCAATAAGAAACTCTGTTTTTGTCAGTTTTTCCCGAGCTGCTGGTGTTTTAAGCATCCATTCCTCACTGTCCCCTCCTCCCTGCTCCTGCCTACCCTTTCCTCTTCTCATATAACTACATTTTATTTCCTTGCTATAAAATAACTATTAAAAGAAAGATTTAGCTTTCATAATATATGTTGAAGTAAACACTTGATTGTTTTTGCTTTCTTTTTCCTTACTAGTAACCAGCACTTTCCCAGTACTTTTAAGGAAAAACGAACATGGACCCCAAGTTACTGCCGAAGTGCTAGTGTTCTATTGGATTCAGTTTTGCTTTTGATGCCCCTATTTTCCCATATAGGTTTTGCAGACCCCATGGCTATATTTTTTATACAACTGAAAGAATATTCAACAGTGCCGTTGCTATTTTGATTTGAAGTTTCCTCTGTTTCAAATAAATGCCATTTTTAAAGTGAGCAATGGTTAAAATGCCATAAAAGATTAACAGGTAACTTCTGAACTCAAACAGGGCTGTGGTTACCTTCATACTATTTTTTGAAATCTTTGAAATCATAACCACAAATGTAAAAATAAAATGTTATTTATATAACTTATCCCATTCTACCTAAGAAGACGGTTTAATTTTTTTTCTCTGATTTAATCAGTGAATGGGTGGATTAAATGCTAGGTGCTAGACACTAGTTATATAAAAATTAAAGATACAGTACTTGCCTCAACAAGCTCACAATGGTTGAAGAAGACAAGCAGGAAAACAGAATTTAAATGCAGGATTATGATTTTTTAATAGAGGTGAGCACAAAATAGGTTTGCACATAAATGTGATAACTTGGCCCTTTAGTGAAACAAGAAGACAGAAGAGGCCAGTGAGGCCTGAAGTGACTCCATGCAGTGAGTGGGTCTGCCATGTGAGCAGCAGGCACCTGGGCATGGGAGCATGAGAGGACAGCACACGCCCACAACACATTTCTCAGTCTTTGCTGAGAGCTACTCAGTAAAGTATCCTCAGTGTTGAGAATCTCAAACTTAGAAAAGGTGACCATGACACGCACAAAATGTTATGGCCGACAATTTTATTTCCTCTAAAGTAGAACGTGGAACATTGTTCTGTGATGAGGTCAGGGTTTGGGTGGTGCCAGTTTTGGCCCTGGCTTATTTTTGTTGAATTTCAAGTGAATACATCAGTCCCCCTTTTCCCATTTCCCCTTTATTCTGTTTGAGTGAGCTTCCTCCAAAATTCTATAAACATTATTAAAAAGTCCCAGCTTGATTCTCTCTGAGTTCTATAATTGCTCTGATGGAATAGCAACCCCTGAATAAATAACGTTTCAAATCTAGAAGGCTCTGCGCTCTTCCTGAAACTGCCTTTAATTCCCTCCTTTCCTCTGACAAATAGGACAGGCTGATGTTTTCATTGCACAGATAATAGAGAGGAGGGAAGACGTCCAGCATTAAGATATTAACTTCTGTGCTTATAATAGGTGAAAGCAAAAAATCTGAAAGCACTTACACCAACTCACTTTCTCTGAAATATTATTTTGAAAATGCTTTACAATTTATAAAGTTTTTTAAAAACCAGAGTATAGTCAGTAATATTTTTCCTGGTCATGAGAGCAACCATGTGTTCTGCAAATTTTCTAATAGGGTTAGTTTCAAATACTGTATCAGTCTTGTTAAACCCACACATCATCTAAATGACCTGGAAATTCTCATGATCTAGCATTCACAATACATTTCATAGGCGATCTTTCCTACCAAGAGAGACATACAGAAAATATGCATTAGACCATGCGAATTAATATGGAGAAAATATCAGCATATGTCAATGTTCACTTTGTAAACAGATACCATTTAAATACTTTTTGCTAAAGCTAGTGCCATTGGTGATATATTAAAACTCTTGCATAATTTTGTAAAAAAAAAAAAAAGAGTCTAATTTTTGGAGATGAACACCGAAGTATATGAGGGAAAATTATAATGTCTAGATTAGTTTTAATACTGCCACGAAGAAATGAATGAAAAGGAAAAGAGGGATAAATGAAATGAATATAGGAAAACTTTGATAATGGCTTAGTCTGTGGTAAGTATACAAGGCTCACTCCATTTCTTACACTTTTGAATATGCCTACAATTTTCCATCTGTCTGTCTGTCTGTCTGTCTGTCTGTCTGTCTGTCTATCTATCTATCTATCTAATCTGTCTATCTATCTATATCTATCTGTCTGTCTGTCTGTCGTCTATCTATCTGTCTGTCTATCTATCTATTTTGAGACAGGGTTCATTGACTCCTGTCACCCAGGCTGGAGTGCAATGGCTCCAGCTCGACTCACTGCAACCTCCACTTACTGGGCTCAAGCGGTTCTCCTGCCTTAGCCTCCCAAGTAGCTGGGATTACAGGTTCATGTCACTGCACCTGGCCAATTTTTGTAGAGATGGGGGCCTTGCCATGTTGCCCAAGCTGGTCTTGAATTCATGGGCTCAAGTGACCCACCTGCCTCAGCCTCTGAAGCATAGAAATTTATTCCACAGTTTTTTTAAACATAGAAATTCTTAGCTTACCATCTTAGAATTCACAAATGGTTTCTCAAGCATGGCTTTGTGTCTGACATTCCTTCCTGTAAGATGACTGTGCATTTTGAATCTTTTGCAGAGTGGCCTGACCCCACTCCATTTGGCTGCTCAAGAAGATAGAGTGAATGTGGCAGAAGTCCTCGTAAACCAAGGAGCTCATGTGGACGCCCAGACGAAGGTATAGCCCCTCCTTTTCTACACAGAAAAGAATGTGTCCATTTGGTGACTGCTGTAAGGAAGAAACCATAATTGTATCAGGAGAATAAACCCTTTAATCATCTCTTTTCTATGTGGTATTTTAAATGTATATGCGAGAGAGCAAGACTCTGTCTCAAAAAAAAAAAAAAAACAAACAAAAGAAATAAATGTGTATTTATGCAAGGGACACTAAAGTCTCTGGTTGCCATATTCCAGGGACTTTTGTCTTTAACGGCCTAGGTACTTTATCCTAGCTGCATAGCAATTGCCCTCATCTTAATGCTGTTGAGCCTCCTTATAACAGATACGTCCTTCGGGGCAGAGTGTGAAAGCTTGTACCTTTCTTAGTTTTTGTGATGGGTTTTTAAAATGCCGACAAATAGACTAATAGAAAAACTTATAATTTGTGACCTCCACATTTGTTCAGCATGATTTATGAAACAGGATAAATTAAGGCTTCTTTAATTATTACTCACTTACTAAATTCCTTATGGATTGTTTGGTCAAGCGTGTGTTCGCCTCTCAGACAAATAGCTCTCATTTCAAAAAGAAAACAAAATTGCTGATTAATCCAAATGCCACAATTCAAACACAGAAAAAAAAAAGGATTTTTCATGTTATCATTAAAGCTACAGCTTCACAATAATCACATTTCTCTGAAAAAAATTTAGATGCTTAATTTTGTTATTTCTTCATATCAGATTTGTGTTATCTACTCTAACATGTTTTCTCTCTACATACCGTGTTTGACATGAAAAAGAATGACTACTAAATAATGTGAATAAAATATTTATATATAATATAGGCAGGTTCTGAGGTATATGGACATATTGAAGTTATTAGTAATACAGAAATAGTACCCCAAATTAGCCAGGTAAAAGGGTATTGAAGGCACCAAAATGAGACTGAATTTAACGTATTTTCTTTATGTTGCTTGAATACTTTCATCAGGAAATAATTCTTGACTTTTGAAATTTGCAACTTCATAGCAAATGTCTTCACTCCATATTGCTTTATTTATACACACACACACACACACACACACAGAGAGAGAGAGAGAGAGAGACAGAAAGAGAGAGATTTAAACGCTTTATTAGGTTCTCTCTCCTCCTTATAGATATAAAATTCTAGAAGGCAAGGTCTGGGTCAAGTTTCTCAACACTTTTCTGCCCTAGCACATCCAAGACATGCCCTAAAATTCAGCCAGGGAGTACGGGGAGGATTCTCAAGGCCAGGTGGGGGAGGAGAGAAACAAGTACTGTGCTCCCTCCATCTGTTTCCCATTTGCACACACAGCCCCTTGATGTACGAGTCTCAGGACTCTGCCACGGTTTCCTCCTAACCCAGCCCGACTCAGGTCCCAATTGGCAGTCATTTTTTCTCCAAGAGGGAGTCTCACTCTGTCACCCAGGCTAGAGTGTGGTGGCTTGCTGCAACCTCCACCTCAAGGATTCAAGCGATTCTCCTGCCGTAGCCTCCCAAGTAGCTGGAACTACAGGCACGTGCTACCATGCCCGGCTAATTTTTGTATTTTTAGTAGAGACAGATTTTTGCCATGTTGGCCAGGGCGGTCTCAAACTCCTGACCTCAGACGATCCACCCACTTTGGTCTCTCAGAGTGCCGAGATTACAGGCACGAGCCATGGCGCCTGGCTACGGATTGCACTCCATGTAATATCTTGAGGCATGTAACCTTTCCAGCCCTTTACAAATGGAGGAGAGCATCTCACTTCAGAAAGCATCTCTCTGTCCTTTACAAGTTCTTTTCCTTTCCTTTCTCTTCTCTGCAAAGGTCACAGCCACCAAAAGGAAGTAAAGCCATGATTGCCCCATAATTAGAGCACAGCAGAAGTGCAGATAGATGGCTTCCTTTGCTGCTTAATTTTGTGAATAAGGAGCTTCTTGTATCCCATGAATGTTCACTTTCTCACTGGTAAAGAAGACATCCCCAGGCAGCCCACAGGTGGGATGTATACCATTCAACTCATTGGCTTACTTGAAAAAATAATTAATAATAATAAAAATATCAAGTCCTCTTCTCTCGGATGAGGAAAAGACTGGAAAATCCTAGTAACAGCCATTGCAGTTCTCTCTCCCTGGCACTCCTCCAGTTTGCTGACCCTTTATACCCCACCTACCTTTTGCATTGGAAGTTCGCTAAATGAGTTTAAACTAAATTGTGCCACAGGGTTTAATAATCAGTGTTGATAGAGATGAAGCCCCTGCTTTTGCTTTTTAGAAGAATAATGTCCGGAAGCATTTTATTTAGTCCACCCCTGAAAGGCACTGATTCTTAGAGGCCACTGATTAGGGATCGGGAGTTACGTAGATTTCTTTAAATGTGTGTAAAAGCATAAGAAGCTTTGAGAACTTATGTGAGACTTACTCATTTCACATTCATTTATAGATTTCCTACTGGTCACCAAATTTTTATCTGGGGGATATATTTCTTATCCTCATAGAATTCATAGTTTAGAGAGCAAAACACATAGTATTATACTAACAAAGTCATCATCATCATAAAATAGAACAAGGTATTACCCGCTTTCTCTGTGCCAGGTATTATTCTAAGTGCTTTGTATTTATTATTTTAATTCTTACAGCTGCTCTATGAGGCTGGTAAAATTAGCATCCCCATTTTACAGATGAGGAAACTGAGGCACAGAAAAATTAATTACACAAGTTCCCAAAGCTAATTATTACAAAGCCTGATTTTGACCATGTATCTGTATCTAGAAATATAATTTTAGAGTATTAGGTAATAACTATGTTTTTTGACAAAGGAAGGTAGGATAGAGGAAGCTACAGCTGATACAGTATCATGGGAACATGAGAAGAAAAATGGGGATTATGTCTTAAGATATTGCTAGAAAATTAAGAAGATCTCAGAGGGCCTTAATGTGCCAGGCTAAGCTGTTCAGCTCTTTATCCTGTTTGCGCTGAGAAGCCACTGAAGGTTTTAAGCACAAACGTGATAACATCAACAATCTGCTTTACAAAGATCCTGGGAAACAATGCAAAGAATAAGTTGATTATAAAGCTTAGAGCAGGGGCAGTTAGGCTATTGTGAGGCCCAAATAAAGAATAAAGAAGTCCTCAACTAAGTGGCAGATGAGACAATGAGGAAGAGGAGAGAAATTTGAGAAACAATTAAAAGATATACAGACAGTTAAGATTTGAAGATCATTTATGTGTGGGGACTGAGGAGAAGCTAGTGAGTGAAATTCAAGATGAAACTAAGGATCTGACCTGTGTAACTGGGTGATCACAAGTACCATTCAATGAGACAGAGAATAAAGGAGACAAAGCCAGTTGGGGAAAGAGACAATGAGTTTTTATTGGGTGTGTCGAATCGTAGATTACCTAGGGGCGATTCAAGTAGGAAAATTCAATAAATGACTCATTTATTGATATGGACGCAGGAAAGGATGATTGGATGAAAGATGCAGATTTCAGAATCATCGGAATAAATGCATTAGCTGACACTGTGAAAGTAGATGTGATCCTCAAGGAAAAGTGTGGTACAAAGCAAAGACAAAACCCTTGGGATCAACTCCATTTTACAATGGATGGAGGAGGTGGAAGAGGGCCCTGTCCAAAGGTAAAAGAGAAATCAGGAAAGAATACGACAGGGCTGTCAAACTATGAAAAACTGTCAAGGTGTTTCGGATAGAGAAGCTCCGGGGACATGCGTGCTATGCATGGATGGGCACTTGGGATATTCAAAAGCAATTTGACTAGAGTAGTGGAGATGGTGAAATGTATGGAGAATGGAATGGAACAGTGAGTGAAGATTATGTTTTTCAAGAAGTTTAGTTTTGAAAGGATAGAACCCTAGAGAAAAGGAGAGATATTTGAAAGGAATGATTTTTGTTTCTAAGATGGGAACATGAAAATATGTCTATAAGCTGAGATGAGCATACCATAAGAAAATGGTTAGCAAAATTATAAGGGGTATCAGAAGTGGGATAGGCTGAGCCAGAGTGGAAATGACCATTTCTTTTTCTTATTTATTATGATTATGATTTTTGAGATGGGGTCTCACTCTGTTGCGCAGGCTGGAGTACACAAGCATGATCATGGCTCATTGCAGCATCAACTTCCCAGGGTCAAGTAATTGTCCCACCTCAGCCTCCTGAGTAGCTGGGACTACAGGCACATGCCACCACCCCTCGGCTAATTTTTATTTGTATTTTTAGTAGAAACAGCATTTTGCCATGTGGACCAGGCTGGTCTTGAACTCCTGGCCTCAAGTGGTCTGCTGCCTTGGTCTCCCAAAGTGCTGGGATTACAGGCGCTAGCCACTGCACCTGACATTATCTTTTCCTGTTTTCAATCATTAATTTACCCAAGATATAAGACATTTATTGAATACTGATGATCTACCAGGCACTGTTTTCAGCACGAGGTAATAATAGCTAACCCGATGTATCAGACACTGTTGAAGTATTTGTTAACATAGTTAATCCTTATGACTACACAATGAGGTTGGTACCATTATTAAAGTCCATTTTATAATACATAAGCCAATGCACAGAGAGGTTCAATAACTTGTCCAAATTCACACAGATAGTAAGTAGGAGAGCTGAGTCCCAAACTCAGACAGTCTGCCTCTGAGGTTCAGGCTCCTGGCTGCTGAGCCCCTCCTTCCCTCGTTCTCATCAGTCAGAAGTGCAGCCTGATGAGTGAATGGACAGAAACATCTACTACGTGGCAGTCAAGAGAGGAAAAAAGGAAGGAAAGTTGTTAAAGACTCGGATGTATTTTGCAGGGTTTTGCTGAGCTTTATCCAGTGTTGCCAAAGGCAGGAAGGAAAAACCTAATCAACTTGTAATGATGTTATCAGTGAGAAGAAGGAGAGGCAGAGGCTGCTCAGTTCGCAGAGCTATGGCTCTTGGTTTGCTTGTTTATTTAACTACTCAAGAAAAAAATAGTGACTCTTTGAAAAATTTGTTGCTGCTGATTGGAAAGAACTTCTCCCATCCCATCTGAGTGTATTTATGCAAGGTGCTATTTTGTGTGGGAATGCTGTTAACCCCAATGAATGGAAGAGCCGGCATCTGATTTCTCTGAATGCAAGTTCAATCTTCATGGCCATACCCAGGTATTTTTGACAAAACACTTTATGGAACAGCAGGACCAGTGTCCTAGAGCATAGCAAACAAGGAAGAGAATGGTAAGAGAATTCAGAGATGTATGGATGGGGGTTGGAGAGGTTGGGGGAGACTAGAATTAAATTATAATGATTTAGAGCTTTCATAAGAAAGAGATAGGAAGCTACGAGGATGAATAGAACCTGTACATTAAAATATTTAGGCCAGGCATGGTGGCTCACACTTGTAATCTCAGCACTTTGGGAGGTGAAGGTAAGAGGATCACTTGAGCCCAGGAGTTTGAGATCAGCCTAGGCAACATAGTGAGACCTCATCCCTACAAAAAATAGAAAATTTAGCCAGGTGTGGTGGTGCATGCTTGTAGTCACAGCTACTTGGGAGACTGAGGCAGGAGGATAGATTGAGCCCAGGAAAGGGAAGGCTCCAGTGAGTCATGATCCCATCACTGCACTCCAGCCTGGTGAGAGAGCAAGACCCTGTCTCAAATATATATATATATATATATATGCATATGTATGTATGTATGTGTATATATATTTATATATATATAAAACTAATCATCCCTGTCTCAGACACACACACACACACACACACACACACACACACGTATAAATCTAATCAACACGTCCATCTCAACAACTATTAGAAATGGTTGTATTGTACCTTAGGCAAATTGACTAAAATCTCAAAGAATGTTTTAATATTTAGATTTTAAAAATATATTGGGTCCACATGGTTTTGACTTGTAAGGGAAGTTCTTTGAACTTGGAAATAATGTTACTTCAATCAGTTAAACCAATTGTACTAAGCATTGATTGGATACATTATTTTCAAGCTTCCCTTATTAAACAGTATTCTGATCATGGGTGCAGTATCTGAGTTCCTCTGTACTGAAAAGAAGAACCCTGCAAAGCAGGCAAATAGATTCTGATCACCAAAAAGGAATATCCTCTATCGTGTAATTAAGGGTCATTAGAGGCTGGAAGTCAGTTCCCTACATGTGGTTATGGTGAGCTTATCAGGGACAGTCTGGTCAATGTGGGTGCACTGGCAGTTCGTTTGGTGAAACAAAGTCTACCAAGAGTCAACTCTCTAGGGCAGTACCTCCGTGGTAAAGTATCTTCACCTTCTACAATCAGTTGTGGTTTGGACATCTCTTTTTCGAATTCAAATGTATCCATTTACTGGGGCTACCATGAAGACACCAGTACCATCACTTAAGATACAGACCCTTGAAAACATGGATCACCCACCCCCATTCCTGTTTAGAAATGTTGCAATGTTCTCCCTTTCAGAGATCTGGTACTGCCAGTGTCATTATGAACAGGGGCTCTGAAATTGCAGGGTAGTATCGAAGCAGGAGGGCTGCAGACAAACCTCTCAAACACCAAACAGGGAAGGAAGGGGTCATTTTATTCATCTGGGAGCTGCGGTGGCATAGATGCCTCAACATCCGAGCTCCCCAGCAAAGAAAACCTTGGCTTACCGTCTGAGAGCTGCACATGTGAGAGGATCGAGAGCATGGGGGACATCACTAGGTGGGGGTCTGAGCAGCTGAGCAAGAACAATGCCTTCCAGGAAAAATTACTCCTTTCCGTATCCGTGGTCTATAGATAGGGTTGTGGTTAGCAGTGGGGGAGGTAATCCTTTAGACCTGACCAGCAGCACCAACTCTGGCTGACTTTTAACTTCTCCTTTTGAAATGCAATGTAGAAGGCTAAAAGGGAGATGGCCTTAGAAGCTTGGGAGGAGGGGGTCTCCTTCCTCAGTATGTTTTAACGAACATACCCTCTAGAGAAGAATCTGGAATACCCTTACTTTAAAAAAATAATTATCAGCTGCATGCGGTGGCAAATGCCTGTAATTCCAGCACTTTGGGAGGCCAACGTGGGTGGATCACGAGGTCAAGAGATCAAGACTATCCTGGCCAGCATGATGACACCCTGTCTCTACTAAAGATACAAAAATTAGCTGAGTGTTGTGGTATGTACCTGTAGTCCCAGCTACTTGGGAGGGTGATGCAGGAGAATCACTTGAACCTGGAAGGCAGAGGATGCAGTGAGCCGAGATCACGCCATTGCACTTCAGCCTGGGTGACAGAACAAGACTCCATCTCAAAAAAATTATCTAGGTTGTATACACACACTGAGAGAGGGAGAGAGAGAAAAAGAGAGAGAAAACTTGCAGACCCTCAGGGGTCAGTGGATACTAATTTGAGAAACAATCCATTTCTTTGTCTAAATCAGTGAATCAGTGGTTTTCAAACTCTGGGACTCTAGGGAGGAAGGCAAAAGATTAACGATCTTGGTATACCTTGTTCAAGTTCATACTTCTCAGACCACCTGAGGTCACACCAGCCTCCCTCTCTTTCTTAGTGTTTCTGTGCATCTTCCTATCTCTATCAGGAATTTTGATAATCACCTCTTGCCATGTGTTATTATTTAGCCACTTCATTTTTGCCTAGATTTTAAGCTTTCAGAAAATATTCAATAAACAAGTCAAGACTCTGTAAAGATCTTTTCTGACCCTGAACAAGAAGCCACTGAGTCAGTCTGTCTATGTTATCAATTGTTCCATCTTTCCTTTCTGTCTTGAAAAGTTCTAAGAACAAGATAAGCTGATAAAAAATAAAGCACTCTGGGGAGCTAACAATTTTATGGGCAATGGTATTTTAACTTATACCTAAGTCTTATGCTGAGAATTATCAAGGGCATTTTTTTTAAAAAAGAGAAGGAAAAAACACCTACTTTTTCCAGCTCAAAAAGAAAGGTTAAATAATGATTTTGCTTCTGTTTAGTATAGCTGTTAGTAAAAGTATAATTATAATGCTTTTTAAAAATAATAATTACAGATGGGATACACACCACTGCATGTGGGCTGCCACTATGGAAATATCAAGATTGTTAATTTCCTGCTCCAGCATTCTGCAAAAGTTAACGCCAAAACAAAGGTAAGCTCCTTCCTTCTTTTTTGTTTCCACCAAAATCATTTATTTTTGTTTCAAAGGAAGTAAGAATCATCTCTTCCATCTTCCTTCTACAGAATGGGTATACGCCATTACATCAAGCAGCGCAGCAGGGACATACGCATATAATAAACGTCTTACTTCAGAACAATGCCTCCCCCAATGAACTCACCGTGGTAAGCACTCAGGGCCAGCTCAGGAGAAGAGGGAGGAGATAGATGGGCCTGGCTGTAGTGTCTTCTTACATTTTTCATTGTACTTCCATTAAGAGGGATACACAGAGCATTCAGTATAATGAGAAAAAAAGAACCATGAACAATAACAAGAGCTGTTCAGAAAGAGAGGTGATTAGTGTTTTATATGTGAAAACTACTGATTGCATTGTCACCTAGTAGGAAGTACACATGTCAGAAAAAGAAATTGTGTTGGCTTCATTGATTGCTTACTTGGAACATGAAAAACTTCTTGGATTGCATGTGTAGCTGCCCCGACTTTGCTCTATGAGTACAAACAGGTTAGGTGGGTTTTGTGCAAGGTATGTCTCTAATGAAACACTTTTTTGTGTATGACAGTGGGATGGGTCTGATTTTGTATCAGCAAAAAAAAAAAAAAAAAAAAAAAAAAATGTGGTATAAGGCTTGCTAATTCCTGGTTCACATTTTCCTTTTGCCAGAATGGGAATACTGCCCTTGGCATTGCCCGGCGCCTTGGCTACATCTCAGTAGTGGACACCCTGAAAATAGTGACCGAAGAGACCATGACCACAACTGTAAGTAAGGAATGCAGAGCCTTGTTTTCCTAGGAGCCAGCTTTCAGCCAGTTTTCTTGGGCTTTTCTGAGATGAATATTTTTCCCGTTCATAAACGAAGCACCGTGTTGTAAAATACAGTTGCCTCATTGTTAGCAGTCAGGACAGCAGAATTCTTACCGCCAATGTGAATAAAAATTTAAAACACTATGAATACCTATTTAAAAGATGCATTTGTAGCTACGGAGTTTTTACTTCCATATACAACTAAATGTGTTATTTGTCTGCTTTGATATACCAACTTTTTAATGAAGTGGTGAAGGCAGAAATTTTTTAACATCCTTCCTTGACAATGTAAAAAAACTGAAAACTCTAAGTTGGTTCCTTAAAAATGTTTTAATGTGCAAATGGTACATGGATACGTTGTCATTCCTGTGAAAAATTTTTACATTGTTTAAAAACAAATCCAGATGGAATCAGGACTGGTTTTGTCTGCTACTGTCGCTCATCTTCTGTCTACCTATAAGAGTTTTTAGAAGAAAAACAATGGGCTGTTTTGTTAGAATTTAAAGTGAATGTTTACCAGGAGGCCCTATTGCTCAAACACACTTTTATAAACTGCAGCCTCTAGGATAAGTCATTTCTTTTCAACCCCATCTGTGGTCTTTGAACAGCATCAAGAGTTGATAACTTTGGAATTAAGAGCAAATATTACATGATATCAGAGGCTTATTTGAGTTATTCCTCACTCCATGACTCAACACATAGGCCTGAGATTGACTCTGTTCAGAGTAAATATAGGACTCTGGAACATTTTGAATTATCAGCTCTGTCCCCTTTTCTCTCCCACCACCTTCTAACATGAAGGAGAAAATGGTTAGTATCTGCAAATTAGTTTGTATACCTAGTGCTTTTTGTGAAAAACATGGGTTGAGAGTCTCTGTAGCTACCTGCAGTTTGAGTTATCTGGCAGTTTTACTCGATGTATCATTCTTAGTCATTAGAAACTGAAAAATAAGCCTGCTGATTCCAAGAGAAAAATGTTGTAACTTGCAAAAGAGAAAACAATTGTTTTAATGGAATAGAATAATGATTAGCAACCAGCACACATTCTGAACTTCATGATGCACTTTGTCTAAGAGATAAATTTCTACATGTTGCTTTCATACACCTCTTGAGTATTTCATTATATTAAAATCTATTATTAAGTTCCCCCAAAAATGTTCAAACCAATAATGTTTATTACCTTTAATTTTATATCCCATATTGCTCTATCTAGGATAGGACAGGAGAAGAAGAGGACAAACTATTTAACAATAGACGAGTGTCACAATGCTATAAAGATTTGAAGTCATTGCAATAAACCTATAATATTAATACTTCTATTTCAATGTTAAAAGAATTGAGACATGTAGAAGTTCAAAATGCAAATCTTATTTGGTTGAATTTAAATTACTTTCTCACCCATTAGGAAATTTCAAAACGATTCTTCAAAATCAAAAAAGCTTTAAGAGAAAGTAGAGTTAAGGACAAGATCAAGTTACAGCTTCAAAAAATCTGAAAGGCCGAGAAAAGTCTCAAAGGTTCCTATCAGAGGAGAGAATGTATACAGAAGTGCCTTTTCACTCTCAGCTGTCCTTGTTGGTGACTTTCTGCAAAACAGAGAAGACGCTCTGCATGCTAATGGGAAAGGTCCAGTTTGCTTAGTGAAGACATGAGGCTTCCACCAAAAGAAATATTCATGTTGATTAAAAAAGAGTCCGTAGAAGTTTCTAAGGCTTGTTCCAGCATTGTGGTAGTTGGTGTATTCTCTCAAGCTGAGACACCACCTTGTCAGCCGTGCTTTAGTGATTACATGTAAACTAGCTTAGACAGGACTGATGTAATTCAGGGTGGAGTGTATGATTTTAAGCTAATAACTATGGCGCAGTCTCCACCACAGGCATGATATTTGTATAGCCAGTTACTGGGACTCCGGCAGCCATTGATTCTATAAGCAAACTTCAGTTTTTCAAAACGAAAAGAGAATGTCTTTTCCATATGAATAAAATACATGATGTGGCAATGCTGAGAAAGATGGTTTAGTTAATTAGATTACAATCAAAACGGCATACCAAACTGAATAGATAGAAGCTGATATTCAAAAGATGTGAATTGTATCTTTTGAAACTGCATTGTTTAAAATACCCAATTTCTTCATATGTAAGGAGCAGAACACCTCTAGCACCCAGATATTGGTTGCTAATACCATTCTCTACTGAAAGCAACCAGGGCTCCTTGGAGAAATGCTGAATCCGAGACTAGCACAGGAAATATATTAGATGAGCCTGGAACATCTTAGAGTGTCAAAAAGTAAGGAAATGCTCCTCCTTCCCTGACCCAAAGCAAATAATACACAGACACAATGGTGGGGGTATGTGGAAGGGACATAGGAATAAACTGAGAGTTCCCAATGGCCACAGCTGGAACAATTTGACCTAAATAAATAAATATAACAGTATTGAAGTATAGTGCAAATTATAAAATAAATATCTGGGAATTCATACTGTTATATAGAAGTAATTCAATAAATGGAAAAGAAGACACAAATTTCTCAGGCTAAAAAATTCCAAATAATGTATGAAAATACTTCACTCTCAAAGAAGTAGGACATAATTCCCCATTGCTTATGTGTGGGCTGAACATAGTGATTTCCTTCCAAAGAAAAAAGTGTGGAAGCAGAGGGAAATAGAGTAACTTTACAATGGAGAAACCTGACAAATACTGCCTCAGCCATATGATCAAGGTCATGTTGATAAGTCACAATGATAAGTCATGTTGATGGTACATACGGTTGATACAATGTGATGAAATGGCACTTTTCCTCTGTGATGTTTATCCCTAAAACAGACAATCCCTAGTCGATGGATATTCTACAAATATCTGACCAGTACACTGTAAAACTGTCAAGCTTATCAAAACCAAGGAAAGTCAAATCCAAATCAAGACCACAGTGAGATACCATCTCACACCAGTCAGAATGGCGATTATTAAAAAGTCAAGAAACGATAGTTGCTGTTGAGGCTGTGGAGAAATAGGAATGCTTTTACACTGTTGTCTGAAATGTAAATTAGTTCAACCATTATGTAAGACAGCGTGGCCATTCCTCAAAGACCTAGAACCAGAAATATCATTTGACCCAGTAATCCCATTACTGGGTATATACCCAAAGGATTATAAATTATTCTGTTACAAAGATACATGCATGTGTATGTTGATTGTAGCACTATTGACAATAGCAAAGATGTGGAGTCAACCCAAATGACTGGATAAAGAAAATGTGGTACATATATACCATCGAATACTATGCAGCCATAAAAAGAAATGATATCATGTCCTTTGCAGGGACATGGATGGAGCTGGAAGCTGTTATCCTCAGCAAACTAACACAGGAACAGACAACCAAACACCACATGTTCACACTTACAAGTGGGAGCTGAAAAATAAGAACAGGTGGACATGGGGAGGAAAACAAAACACACTGGGGCCTGTGGGCAAGGAGGAAGAACATCAGGATAAATAGCTAATGCATGTGGGGCTTGATACCTAGGTGATGGGTCGATAGGTACAGCAAACCACTATGGCACACATTTGTTTAGCTATGTAATAAACCTGTGCATCCTGCACACGTAACCTAGAACTTAAATTAAAAAAAAAAAAAAAAAAAAAAAAAAAAAAACAAGGAAAATTGGCCAGGCATGGTGGCTCATGCCTGTAATCCCTGCACTTTGGGAGGCCGAGATGGGTGGACTACCTAAAGTCAGGAGTTTGAGACCAATCAGCCTGACCAACATGGAGAAACCCTGTCTCTACCAAAAATACAAAATTAGCCTGGCATGATGGCACATGCCTGTAATCCCAGCTACTCAGGAGGCTGAGACAGGAGAATCACATGAACCCAGGAGGCGGAGGTTGCAGTGAGCCGAGATCGCACCTTTGCACTCTAGCCTGGGCAACAAGAGGGAAACTCCATCTCAAAAAACAAACAAGGAAAGTCTGAGAAATTGTCACAGCCCAGAGGAAACTAAGAAGACACAACTAAATATAATACAGTATCCTCCATGGGATCCTAAAACATAAAAAGGACATTAAGCAAAAACTGAAGAAAAATGAATAAAATATAAACTTTAATCATAACGTATCAATGTTGATTCGTTAATTGTGACAAAAGTTCCATGCTAATATAAGATCTTAATAATAGGCCAGGCTCACACCTATAATCGCAGCTCTTTCGGAGGCTGAGGCAGTGAATCACCTGAGATTGGGTGTTCGAGACCAGCCTGGCCAACAGGGTGAACCTATCTCTACTAAAAATACAAAAAGTAGCCAGGAGTGGTGACACACATCTATAATCCCAGCTGCTTGGGAGGCTGAGGCAGGAGAATCGCTCGAACCCGGGAGGCAGAGGTTGCAGTGAGCCGAGATTGCACCACTGCACCCCAGCCTGGGCAACAGAGACTCCATCTCAAATAATAATAATAGAAGTTTTAATAATAAGGGAAACTTGGTTTGGGGTATATGGGAACTGTCTATACTATCTTCACAATTATTCTATAAATCTCAAACTCTTCTAAAAATAAAAGTTTATTTTTACCAGTGTTCCATTGCAGTATTACATGCTGGAAAAGATATCAAGTAATGCTTTATTTCAACACAATAACTGGGGATAGGGGTAGAAATCACATTTACCAAGTATTGTCTCTAAGAAACAATGAATTTGTACCTCTTTTTAGTTTTAACAACCTGGCTTTTTTTCAGTTGTCTTATTTAAATGTGTGTCTTCCCTTGTACCATTGGTCTCTCATATGCTGAGAATTTTTTTAAAAAAACAATCACTTTTAGACAAGTCATTAAGATTTTCTCACTGTGATGCTGATAGTGTCTTTTGGATGGATATAATCTAAGTTATCAAAGGGCAAGTAATTGAGGCAGTAGGCATTTGCTCCATAATATACTGTTCTTTAAATTTTGGGGGAGGCCAAAACGATCCTGCCAATGCATCACTTTTAAAGTATCTTTTCATATACATTGTTTTAAGTGTTATTTTAATATTTTGGTTTATCTTAGGAATTAAAATTACATATAAGAGGAGAAGACAAAATAGATGGAAAGCTTTGCAAAAGTGATAGAAACATACTTCTTGCAGTTCATTTGGCTTCTCTTCAGCTAAGCAAAACCTTTAGTGGAACGCAGTGACAGATTCATCAGACCATGAAAAAGTACAGCAGTGGAATAGGAGGGGCAGAATCTTCTCTTTTCCTTTAAAAAGCTTTATTAGAGACCTAAATCTTTTAAGCTGTGTTGATTTGCCACTAGAATTCTCTCATTTTGTATTCCTGGGCTCTGTATATGGTGACCGCCTTTATGCCACTAAGGGACAAAAATTTTGATGTCATTTTATATGTGGGAGATTCAAGATATTCAACACATGCATTTCACAAGAAACTGATTAATTCAGAGATAAACGAATAGACCCATTAAAATGCACAGTCTGCTCACACTAAAATGACTGCTTTTTTGTTACCAGACCATCACAGAGAAGCACAAAATGAATGTTCCAGAAACGATGAATGAAGTTCTTGATATGTCTGATGATGAAGGTATGAAAATGTTCTTTGCATTCACAATAATTATGAGTGACTGTGTATTTTGTTTGTTTCCTGAAGAAAATTCATTCCAAAAACGTTTTTCAGGAATATTGAAATGTTTTGTTGTAATATCAAGAGTGTGTATTTTTCATCCACTTATATTGTTCACTTAAATCATGCAGTTCGTAAAGCCAATGCCCCTGAAATCCTCAGTGATGGTGAATATATCTCAGATGTTGAAGAAGGTATTTGCAAATTTTTATTGTGATGAAACTTAACTACTACCAACTTTATCTTTCATTTCTTATCTTTGAAATATAATATTTCCTTGAGTTACTAACTTTTCATATTATCTTGATATTATAATTTGTGTATCAATTAAATAATGTGTATCTGGTAAAATTGTTAGTTCTCCCTTTTAAGTCTCTTTATCTTTCCTTGAAATGGTTCCCTAACTTTAACATATAAAAGTGTCACTAATTATCTGGATTACTTGCCTTCTCTCTGTTTCTATCAAACAGAATACTAATGTTTTTATTGGTTGCGTCTGAAATCTAGAAAGAGAAAACTGATTAATGTTTATGATTACAGTATTTCTTAAAACAAGTAAGAGAAGGTTCCTTACAGGGAGTCCTTTTAAATGCCCTAAGACTTGCCCATTCTGCTTAACTTTGTAAAAAAAGATCTTGAACTAATAATGAAAACAATCTGAAAAAAACTTTTGAAATAGAAATTTTCAGTAATGATTTACTGAAAGAGATCAAAATATTATTGTAGCTATGCTTTATGTGTTTTAAGAAATTGGTTTCTGTCTTGCTTAAAAACCAATACTTTCACCATGATATCTGTATATCATGATATATAGATATATCAATGTATGGCATCTTTGAAAGGTCCATTGGAAAACTAGCATTTTTATAGTGAGTAAATGTTGTACAGATGATACATTTTGGAGTTTCACTGAAATAATGAGATATTTACCATGGGAAAATTATATTTAACTTTTTTTTTTTTTTTGCATAATTTGACTCTCCCAAATGATGGGAAACCATCAAACACATTCTACTATATTGTGACCTCTTTTGCCCCCTCTCATGCAGTAGTTTTCTTTTGGGTTAGTCTTAGTGTTGCTAGTCTTTTTTTTTTTTTGCCTTTAAGTAATCTTCCCCATTTTAATTTGTGTTAGTTCTTTCTTTGATTTGCACGAATTTCAGTGGGAACCTAAATAATGGAAAAGCCTATCTGATCCGAAGCCACTTTAACCTTTTTGTTATCTAATCAATGGCTTCCCATTGTAATGCATTGTGGCCAGCGACTGCACACTCCAATAAGCTAATGACCTGGTGGTCGTTTAGGGACCTGGGAGGATCTGGCTCAATGTTTGTAAATGTTGTTTTGAGAAACATTAAAGGCTTTACTCAGTTTTCTTTCTTCTTTTCTGAAGCATCAGCTATACATTTATTTACCTCCCTTCTATCCCCAGATGAATATTTGTTATTGTCTTCAGGACTTTTAGAGTAATATGCCTGCTGTCATATTTCATTACCTTCTCATGTAACATTTCAGAGTAATTTTGTGCAGAACATAAAATTTAAAAATGATATTCTTACATAGATGTTTACACACAAAAAACATGATGTCAAAAGTGTGTTTGCCAAATGTAATTATTAGGAATCATAGTATGACAATCATAGACCTAAAAAAAATGTACTGGTCATTAAGAAAATATCCAAAATTAGCCCCATTGATGAGAAGCCAAGTTTGAATGGACTATGTAACAGCCTTATACATGTGGATAGCTAACCAAATAATTTCAAAAAAAGAGATTTTTAATCTCTAAATTTGAAATTAATTGACTTCGTTAGTTAACTAGAAATGTGTTTATCTCAGCTTGGGAATTTGAAATTGGCAATTTTAAATTTTCATTTTATTTGTCTTTTCTTTAAAATCTTTGGCCCTCAGTTTATGGTATGACCAGGGCTGTTGGAATCAAATGGCTTTTGATTTTATGGTATTGTTGAATTTAATGTTGAACAGGATTCCTTAAAGGTCACTCAATCTGAACAAACATCTGCTAGAATCCCATCTGCTTAGGATCTCCTATGCCCAACCCCTTCAAATAATGGAAATTCTTTAATTCCTAAACTGCCTAGTCCATTTGGACAACTCTATCTTTTAAAATTCTTCATTTTATTGAACTTCCTGTAGCTTCTACTCATTGATTCAAGCTTTGGTATATTTGACCAAGTTGATGAGAAGACTACATTCTACATAGTATTTGGAACAAAATCTGCCTCTTCTGTGTGACCATCTTTCAGATATTTAAAAATACTTTTTCTATTTCTTCTTAGTTTTTTAATTTTTTCTTTAGATACGTCATTGCTACCTCCTTTTATTGTTCTCCTCACCAACCTGGTCACCCTCTCCTATGCATTTTCAACATGTCTATGCCATCTCAAGTTGAGGAGACCAGAGCTCAACGCAGTATTTGAGGTGTATTCTCATCAAAGCAGAGTACAGCAGGGCTATTGCATTCTCCATGGAAGATACTAAATGTCTATTTTTGAAGATTAAAATACTTTTCAGGTTATAATGTACTTTCAATTTGACTCATATTAGTATTACTGTCTGCTAAGATCCCTAAATTTTGCTTACAAGAGCTCAGGTAAGCCACATTTACCCAACTATGTATTTACGTTGTTCTCTGGTGCATAAATTAACATTTCTAACTACTGCAAATCCCAAAACAAATCATTTTGAAATTTTAATTCTAAAAGGACCCCTACAACTTTAATGATAGTTTTATCTTCTGACTCATTTGCCTGATAGTCTTGCCAGAGCTTTGATTGGCCCTTTAGTTAGATTTAGTGTTGCCCATTTGAGTAAGCTCCTATGCAGCTGTGGCAAATGTTCATTTCCATGAAGCCATAGGCATGTTGTGAGTCTGTCTATCTACAAGAACTGGTGAGACATCATCACATTGGCACCTTAGGGTGTTAAAGAATAATGGCAGCTTTTAAAAGCAAATAATAAGCAATTTAGGCTGCCAGTTTGTCTCAAGAAATAAAAGAGTTTGTAATAAGAGAAAATTTTAATCTTGATTCTAAAAATCTGCTGTAAGTAGATATTTAAAATAAATAAAATAAAAAGTAAAATAAATATTAAGGAAGAAATGCCAAGAATAGTCTCTGTCTTCTTTCTCATTCTCTTTTCCTTTTTCTTCTTTGCCTTCTCCTTATTGTCCTCCTCTCTCTTTTGTACACTGTGAGACATTAGTATACATGAAAGAATGTTCGGATTCATTTCTCAAAAAAATAAAAATTAAGGAATACAAGACTAGACAATGTTATCATTTAATGAGGTAGGAGAACAGTGGGGCCAAGATGCGAAGCTGAACACAGGTCGAAGCATCAGCGAAGCAGAGCAATAGAAGAGGTCAAGCAACTTTGTCCAAGGCAGGTGTTTAAGCTCGCATTAGGCAGATGGGGACTAAGCCGAGCTCCTCAGAGGGCCAGATGCATTTGTAGATACCTTACTGCCCTACTGTCTCCTGTCCCAGAAAATACCTATTACATTCATATAAGATTAATATAAGTATAAAATTAGTATCTTGATTTTAGTGCCAGTTTGATTCTTATATTTTACAACTCTGTTTATTGAAAATATGAAAGAATGTGTGTATAGAAAAAGGAAGAAAGAAGGAAGGAAGGAAGAAGAAAGAGAAAGAGAAAGAAGAGAAAGACGAGAAAGAAAAAGAGGGAAAATTGAGATTAAGGCTCAAGTGATCGGATTTGGCTTCTCCTCCCAAAGGATTTCACATTGGCTTTGGTTCAGCTCTGATCTTAAATTGTAACTGTCTATAAAATGTATTTTATAAATCAGGGTGGGGGGAGTATAGTTATTTTAGCTTGCAGAATTCTAGTGGGTTGAAGTGTAGTTATAGATTGAGACATAATGAGAAGTGGAATTAAGCCATGGAAAGTAAAAATCTAAAAGGCAGCTCTGTGAAATATGACTCTATTAGGCAGGTTTAGGAGACAGCAGCTGGTGAGACAGCTAGGAAGAATTCTTCCTGCTAGGACGAATTATCTAATTCTTAGCTACTTTTAGATTTGATAGGGCTGAAAAATACCTTTCTGAATCAAATGCAGACACTAAATATTAAAAGAAAAAATAAGAGGCTAAGTATACATGTGGTAAAAATAATATCAAGTGGATGTAAGTTTGAGATGTAGTAAAACAATAAAATTTTAGCAGATAATAGAGTGACATGAGGGGTAACGAGAGTCATGTTCAGTTCAGCTTTGTGCGAAATTTGGTGGCCAGTGGAAGCCACAGCAAATTAAAATCCATAAATGTCAAAGAACTGAAGGCACAAGTTGGAGTCTTGTAAGTCTGTTCCTGCCATTACACTGATGAGGAAGGAATGCCCAAGTACACATTGAATGGTCTTTCCAATGAGGTTAGTGGCAGAGCTGGACAAGAAGACTGGTCTGACACTGTGTAGTTTTAGATCATCTCATTCCCCCACCCCCAAAATCTAGTCAAGTAAAACACTGGGAGTGGAGAAGGAACACATAGACCTCTAACTCATTGTGATCAATTACTTGCAAACAACACTGCATAGATCATCTCTTTCATTGCTATTCCAACTTGATCTGTTTCTTATATATAGAACCTAAGAATGCATATTTTTAGCTTCAAAAAAAGGGAGGTGTGGCCAGCGCAGTGGCTTATGCTTATAATCCCAGCACTTTGGGAAGCCGAGGTGGGTGAGTCGCGAGGTCAGGAGTTCAAGACCGTCCTGGCCAACACAGTGAAACCTCGTCTTTACTAAAAATACAAAAAGTAGCTGGGCATGGTGGTGGGCGCCTGTAATCGCAGTTACTCTGGGTGCTGATGCAGGAGAATTACTTGAACCTGGGAGACAGAGGTGGCAGTGAGCTGAGGTTGTACCACTGCACTCCAGCCTGGGCAACAGAGCTAGACTTTTTCTCAGAAAAAGCGGGGGGGTGTTAAGGAAAAGAACAAATCATGTTCTTGCAAACTATCACAAGGTAATAAGAGTTTTTTAATTTGTAATTATGGATACACAATAATTCTATTTATGGGGTATATGTGATATTTTGATACAATCGTACAGTATGTAATGATCAGAGAGTAATTGGGATGTCTACCAGAGAGTAATTGGGAACATTTCTTTGTGTTTGGAACATTCTGGTTCTACCCTTTTAATTGTTTTGAA